GAGTTCAGCCGTTTCTAGACGACGTGCTGATCGCCGCGCCAGACCCCTCGTCCTTCGCAGACCGTCTGAGGGCCGTTTTACAGCGCTTCGACGCGGCGGGCCTCAAGGTGAAACGGGAGAAGTGCCTACTGGGGGTGCCGCGGGTGGAGTTTCTGGGCTTCGCGGTGGACGCCGCCGGCCTGCACCCCTCCCAGGACAAGGTAGAGGCCATCACGCACGCCCCGGCCCCGAAGTCCAAGACGGAGCTACAGGCGTTCCTGGGCCTAGTGAACTTCTACCACTCCTTCTTGCCCCTGAAGGCGGCCGTCGCAGAGCCGCTCCACCGCCTCCTCGACAAGTCAGCACCATGGGTCTGGGGGCCTCCGCACGCCGCGGCTTTCCAAACAATAAAGGACCTCCTGGTCTCTAATGCGGTCCTCGCCCATTTTGACGAGGCCCTTCCCGTGGTGCTGGCGTGCGACGCTTCTCCCTATGGGGTCGGGGCGGTCCTGGGGCACAGACTACCGGATGGTCGCGAGGTCCCGGTGGCCTACTACTCGCGGACACTGTCGTCGGCCGAGCGCAACTACGCGCAGATCGACAAGGAGGCGTTGGCAATCGTGGCAGGGGTGAAAAAATTTCACCACTACTTGTACGGCCGTCCGTTCACGATCCTGACGGACCACAAGCCCCTGCTGGGCCTCCTCGCACCCGACCGGCAGACACCGCAGATAACCTCGCCCAGGGTGCTACGCTGGTCCATCTTCCTGGCGGGGTATGCGTACGACCTCGTCCATCGGCCCGGACAGGCGATGGGCCACGCTGACGCTCTGAGCCGCCTGCCCCTCCCCAAGTGCGACCCGGACCCGGCCCCCGCGCTCCTAGTTGCGAGCCTGGAAGCCCTCACGGACCAGCCGGTCCATGTTTCGGAGGTGGCACGCTGTACCTCCAAGGACAAGACATTGGGAAGGGTCTTGGACTGGGTGGTGAGGGGGTGGCCCGAGGCCAAAGGAGACCAGGACATCGCCCCGTTCGCCACCCGGAAACACGAACTCTCAACCCACAAGGGGTGCTTGCTGTGGGGAAGCCGGGTGGTCATCCCCTCGCCTTTAAGGGAACGGGTACTCACCGCCCTGCACGAGACACACCCCGGGGTGGTGCGGATGAAAGCCCTGGCCAGGAGCTATGTGTGGTGGCCAGGACTGGACGCGGACATTGAAGGGGTGGTCAAGAGGTGCCAGCCCTGCCAAGCCTCGCGGCCGGAACCACCCCGAGCGCCCGAGAGGGCCTGGGAATCCTCCCACCGTCCCTGGTCCCGCCTCCATCTGGACTTTGCTGGACCCTTCCAGGGCAAGCTGTTCTTCATCCTGGTGGACGCATACAGCAAGTGGCTGGAAGTGGTCCCCGTGCCCTCCACATCCTCGCAGGCCGCAATCCGGGCCATGTGGAGGATCTTCAGCGGCCAAGGGATCCCCGACACGCTGGTCACGGACAATGGAACCGCGTTCACCTCGGCCGAGTTCCAGGCTTTCACCAGGTACTACGGGATCCGCCACGTCCGATCCGCCCCGTTCCACCCTGCCACGAATGGCCAGGCGGAGCGCATGGTGCGCACCACAAAGGACGCACTTCGCCGACTGGACTCCACCGATTGGGACTATAAACTAGCAGCCTTTCTCTTCGGACAGCGTACCACGCCACACACCACGACCGGCCGCTCCCCGGCCGAACTACTGCTGGGCCGCCGCCTGGCCTCCCGACTGGATCGGTTACACCCAGACCGAGCAACCCCGGAGGCCCCGGGCACCGAGACGTACGAGTCGGCCAGAGGGTTCTTTCCAGAGGACCCGGTGTACGCACGAAACTACGGCCGGGGGCCCCGATGGATCCCGGCCCGAGTTGTACGGGTCAAGGGCCCCCGTTCGTACGAGGTCTCCAGCGAGGATGGCCAGATCCTCCACCGGCACATAGATCAGCTGCGCCGTCGCACGCTACAGCTGGACCCTGAGGATCCGGACGAGGACCCAGAGCCTGCCACATCGGCCCCACTCCCGGCACCGGATCCACAGCCGCCTCTCCGTGAGGAACCCGAGGCACCTCACACCGTGGTGCCAGCCTGTCCTGCCTCCTCGGCGCCCTCGTCGGCCCCAGGCCCCTCGGCTCCCAGGGCCCCCGAGACCGAACCCATCGCTACCCCGGAGCCCCGACGCTCGACGCGCCCCAAGAAGCCACCCGCCTACTTGAAGGACTTCGTCTGTGGGTGCCTTCTGAACCAATGGGGGAGGGGTGTAATGTATTCAGCCTGACATGCCCGGACTTGCCCGGGCTGGCCAGGCACAACTCTTCAATAGCTTCATGTCCAAAGACAATGGGTCCGTAGGATCCTAGCCGGCCCAATCAAAGGGCCAGCTTCTCAGCCGGGAGACCAATGGTCGCCCGGTTACTGTAAATAGCCTATCGGGAGTAGGGGGTGTGTTTAGGTGTACTTGGTGGCGGGTTTTCTGAACATATATAACCAGCCTGCGAGCTGGTCCCTTCGTCTTTGTCCTGAACTAAATAAAGGTATGCTTAGCTGAAATCACTCTCCGTCTGCATACTTTTCAAGTTCCTCATTTCACTGTACTTATACCTCACCTTTTCCCCCAGTGGGGGGCCCAAAGCAGCTTGCATCATTCTCCTCGCCTCCGTCTTATTCTCACAACAGCCCTGTGAGATGGGTTCGGCCGAGTGTGTGCGACTGGCCCAAAGTCACCAGGCAAGCTTCCATGGCAGAGTGAGGATCTGAACCTGGGTCTCCCAGGTCCTAGTCCGACCCTCTAACGACCACAGCACAATCACTGCAGTTTTGAGTTGCGGAAATCAACAGTCCTTGCATGGCTCTGGAATATTTTCAACCATACTAGTCACACCAACAGAAAGACAAAGCAATTTTCTGTGTCACTCTGTCCTATGAACTTGCAATTACTCACCTAAGGAATGGCATAGTTTTAGGGCTCCCAGATGGGAGTTTTTAAACTGCTTAACAAGCTTATTGGCTCCCCAAATAATGTACTTTTAAAGTGTAGCCTCAACACCAGTTAGTGTGCAACCTTTAAACTGGGTATTTAAGTGTGTTATGATAGGCAAAATCTCCCTTGAATCCATCCCATGACATTATTCCTGGCTGTCTAGAGCTAGAGTTGCCAGGTGTGACTCAGGAAATATCTGGGGACTTTGGGGGTGGAGCCAGGAGCAAGGATGTGAAATCACTTTTGTGATGTCACTAGGGTCACCAGGTGAGGATGACAAGCCGGAAGGGAGTTCTGGCCGTCGCATTGAAGCATTCCTTTTAAAAGCATTCCTTTTAAATACTTTCCCTCCATTGGAAGTAATGGAGGATGGGGGCACTTTCTTTTGGGGCTCATAGAATTGGACCCCCTGGTCCAATCTTTTTGAAATTTGGGGCTTCTTTTTCAGGAGAGGCACCACCAGCTATGCTGAAATTTTGATGCCTTTACCTCAAAAACAACCCTCCCAAAGCAGGGGGAGGGGCTCCAAACCAGGGGATCCCCTGCCCCCAGCTGGGGATTGGCAACCCTACTGAGAGCACAGTAGCAGCCACAGGTAAAAGAAGAGAAGAAGAAGAAGAGATTGGATTTATACCCCACCCTTCACTATCCAAAGGAGTCTCAGAGCGGCAACAGACACCCTGTGAGGTAGGTGGGGCTGAGAGAGCTCTGACAGAAACTGCTCTTTTTCAAGGACAGCTCTTATCAGAGCTATGGCTTGCCCAAGGTCATCCAGCAGCTGCAAGTGGAGGAGTGGGGAATCAAACCTGGTTCTCCCAGATTAGAGTCCACACACTTAACCACTACACCAAACACAAAGACGCCCTTCAATCCCTCTTGGCAAAGCTTGAGCAAGGTTCAGAAATCTGTTCACCATCAGCTGCAACAGTGGAAATGCTACTGGTCAGCTACTGGAGCCAAAAAAGAAAAAACAACAGGTGTTCCAATCTGAAAACATAAGGAGGATTTCAAGGTTCTTTCATATGAGGAAAGGTTAAAGCGCTTAGATCTCTTTAGCTTGGAGAAACAACGACTGAGGGGTGACATGATTGAGGTTTATAAGATTATTCATGGGATAGAGCAGGTAGAGAAAGAGGTACTTTTCTCCCTTTCTCACAATACAAGAACTCGTGGGCACTCCATGAAACTGCTGAGCAGTCGGGTTAGAATGGATAAAAGGAAGTCCTTCTTCACCCAAAGAGTGATTCACACATGCAATTCACTACCACAGGAAGTGGTGGCGGCTACAAGCATGGGCGGCTTCAAAAGGGAATTAGATAAGCATATGGAGCAGAGGTCCATCAGTGGCTATTAGCCACAAGGTATAGATAGGGACTCTGGGGCAAGTGATGCTCTGTCTTCTTGGTGTTTGGGGGGGTCAACAGTGGGAGGGCTTCTAGTGCCCTGGCCCCACTGCTGGACCTCCTGATGGCGCCTGGTATTTTTGGCCAGTGTGTGACAGAGGGTTGGATGGGATGGGCCTTTGGCCTGATCCAACATTGGCATCTCTTATGTTCTTATGTTCCTGTCACGCAACTGGAACTTATTTGAACATAATGCCTGAAAGCTACAAGGCTGCATTCAGTTATGTTTGCCAGCTCTCGGTTGGGAAACTCCTGTAGGTTTTTTGGGGGGTGGAGCCTTGGGAGGGATGCTCCAGTTACGGCAGGGATGTGACATCCCATCCTCCCTGGAACACACACCCCAATCCCCCCACCGTGATGGCGAGGGGGTCCTGCCAACCCTATTGGCAACCCTAATTCCAGTTCTAGCACAGTGCTGGGGAGGAGGCCATCATCACTGGCTGGCCTTATTTGTCTTATGATTAAAAATAAATTAGCTCTGCTTGTCCGTATCATGGGGGGGGGGCAGGTGTTGCACGCTCACTGGTGTGATGTTCCTTCACATCACCTACTTTGATTAATGCAAGGTAAGTCACGATAAATCTCTCCTCGTGTTCCTTTTTCATTCCAGATCATGAAGAACTCTGCGGCAGTAGTTATGGATCCTTCTGTATGAATGGCGGAATTTGTTATATGATTCCTACCGTGTCCAGTCCTTTTTGCAGGTAACTGATAACGTTTTTGCGCCGCAGGCATTTACTTTGCAAAGGTCACATACAGGACTAGAACGTCTTTTAAGGAGACAGGTGATTTTGTCCACATATGTAGACAGAGTTGCTGTTGTGAGAAAACAGAGGAAGGGGGAATGGTGTTCCAAAAGCCGCTTTGAGTCCCAACTGGGGATGAAAGTGGGATGCAAATAAACGCAAAATAAATACATGGCATCCACTTCTTCCCTCATGCCCCGCTGAAATTCCACGGTAACCTCCCACTCACATCACTGTGCCAGGATCAGTTTTTCTGCTGACGTGGCATTTTACTCTGTTGGCACGGGGTGGTGGTGGTGGTATTTAATAGCATTTCTGTCTCATCCCCCAGGAGTAACTCATGGATAAGGACCGGCTCTGCAAATTGGAATAGTTTATTCCCCTGCGCTCATTCCAAGCATGCCCCTTATCAGTCAGGCAAGGAGGCTAATTATAAGGTTCTGTTTACACTTGACTATCCTGGTAATCAGTGGCGATGGAATTAATAAGAGAACGTGAACTGCTGCTGCTTTGCAGAATGACATAAGGGGTGAATTATCTCAGGTCTGCTTTAGGCTGACGTCAGCATGGGAAGGATCCAACTTCAGCCTGGGGATCTATCCTTCCATCCCACCCTGCCCCACTCCTCTGAGTTGGCAGGTGCTCTACAGTCGCATTCAGCCCTTATGAAATGGCTTGTGGAACTGTGGGTGTGTACACAGAAGGCGTTGCAGAGCCAGGCAATAGATTTCAATATCTGGCTGTCGGGGAATTCCTGAAGGTCAAACTCGATAAGAAAGAGGCTCAAGCAAATAGAGATAGGGACCCCTACGAACAAAGTAGTGTTAAAATATTTCTGCTTGAAGTTTTCGGGAATAATGACTTTAACCAATGTTGGGCTGATTGCATGGTACGTGATGTATAGGCTAGATAACCCACGGATTGTTCTGCTGCAGAAACAACTTGTGAGACGTGGAAGCTGGTACCACACCTTCCTGCCCCCCCCCCTCCATTTAAAGGTCTCTGTGCACAGAACGACATTATGGGCCACATTTTCCCTTCCCAGGTATCACTATTGGCATGTGGTACCAGCAGCCCTGCCCCTTCAGCCATGAGTTCAGATGCTCCCATTACAGCAGGCGGAACCTGGCTGCGGAACCCTCTCTCTGCAGTCCCTCTCTCTCCCCCACCCCTTTTCCTCCAGCCAGACTCTATACTTGGATTCAATTGGGAGAAAAATGACCTTGGAGTCCACACTCTGAGGGGTCCATATTGCCACTGCACAGTGCTTTGTAGCCAGTTTGGTGTAGTGGTTAAGTGCACAGTCTCTAATCTGGGAGAACCGAGTTTGATTCCCCACACCTCCACATGCAGCTGCTGGATGACCTTGGGCAAGCCATAGTTCTCTCAGAGCTGTTCTCTCAAGAGCAGTTTCTGTCAGAGCTCTCTCGGCCCTACCTACCTCACAGGGTGTTTGTTGTGGGGAGGGGAAGGGAAAGGAGTTTGTAAGCCACTCTGAGACTCTGAGTGAAGGGCAGGGTATAAATCCAATCTCCTCTTCTCCTTCTCCTTTTCTACTTTATATCACACCTATCCTTCTTGTGCCTGCAAATGCGGGCAGACCATCCATGCAAAACTCAGGCTGTCACATAGTAGCATGGTTTGCCGCAGTAGATGTGAGGCTTCCCGGATGACGGAAAACCTTCACTCCCTCAATCCTACCACTGAGAGCCGGTGGTGGTATAGTGACTAAGAGTGTCTGACTAGTAACTGGGGGACCCAGATTTGAATCCTCACTCGTGCCATGGAAGCCCGCTGGGTGACCTTGAGTCAGTCACACTACATAAGAACATAAGAACATAAGAGATGCCAATGTTGGATCAGGCCAAAGGCCCATCCAGTCCAACACTCTGTATCACACAGTGGCCAGAAATACCAGTGCCATCAGGAGGTCCACCAGTGGGGCCAGGACATTAGAAGCCCTCCCACTGTTGACCCCCCCAAGCACCAAGATGACAGGGCATCACTTGCCCCATTTGGGTGAAGAAGTACTTCCTTTTATCCGTTCTAACCCGACCGCTCAGCAATTTCATGGAGTGCCCACGGGTTCTTGTATTGTGAGAAAGGGAGAAAAGTACCTCTTTCTCTACCTGCTCTTTCCCATGCATAATCTTATAAACCTCGATCATGTCACCCCTCAGTCGTCTTTTCTCCAAGCTAAAGAGCCCTAAGCGCTTTAACCTTTCCTCATAGGGAAAGTGTTCCAACCCTTTTATCATTCGAGTTGCCCTTTTCTGCACTTTTTCCAAAGCTATAATATCCTTTTTAAGGTGTGGTGCCCAGAACTGCACACAGTATTCCAAATGAGGTCTCACCATTGATTTATATAGGGGCATTATTATATTGGCTGATCTGTTTTCAATACCCTTCCTAATAATCCCCAGCATAGCATTGGCCTTCTTTATTGCAGTCACACACTGTCTCGACATTTTCAGTGAGTTATCTACTACAACTCCAAGATCTCTCTCTTGATCTGTCTCTGCCAGTTCAGACCCCATCAACGTGTATTTATAGTTAGGATTTTTGGCTCCAATGTGCATCACCTTGCACTTGGCCACATTGAACCCCATTTGCCATGTTGACGCCCACTCGCCCAACTTTGACAGATCCCTTTGGAGTGCCTCACAATCCTCACTGGTTTTCACCACCCTGAACAACTTTGTATCATCCGCAAATTTAGCCACTTCACTGCTTACTCCCATCTCCAAATCATTAATGAACAAGTTAAAAAGCAGTGGACCAAGTACTGATCCCTGTGGTACCCCACTGCTTACACCCCTCCACTGGGAGAACTGCCCATTTATACTCACTCTCTGTTTTCTATTAATTAGCCAGTTTTTGATCCATAAAAGGACTTGTCCTTTTATCCCATGATTTTTGAGCTTACTTAGGAGCCTTTGATGAGGAACTTTATCAAAAGCTTTCTGGAAGTCAAGGTAAATAATATCTATTGGATCCCCCTTGTCCACATGTTTGTTCACCCCCTCAAAGAACACTAACAGGTTAGTGAGACAAGATCTTCCCTTACAGAAACCGTGCTGAGTCTGCCTCAATAGGTTTTGTTCATCTATGTGCCTACTAATTCTTTCCTTAATAATGGTTTCCACCAATTTACCCGGTATCGACGTCAGACTGACTGGCCTGTAATTTCCCGGATCTCCTCTGGAACCCTTTTTAAAGATGGGAGTGACATTAGCTACCTTCCAGTCCTCAGGAATGGAGGCTGATTTTAAGGAGAGATTACATATTTTTGTCAGGAGATCCACAAGTTCACAATTGAGTTCTTTCAGAACTCTTGGATGTATGCCATCTGGGCCTGGTGATTTATCAGTTTTTAAGTTGTCTATCAGTTTTAGGACCTCCTCTCTCGTCACCTCAATCTGACTCAGGTCTTCCAACACCCCTCCTGAAATCAGTGGTTCTGGAGTGGGCAAGCACTTCTCATCTTCCACAGTGAAGACGGAGGCAAAAAATGCATTTAGCTTCTCAGCCATTTCCCTATCATCCTTCAGTACTCCTTTTACCCCTTGGTCATCCAAGGGCCCCACTGCCTCCCTGGCTGGTTTCCTGTTTCTAATGTATTTGAAGAAAGTTTTATTGTTGGTCTTTACATTTTTTGCTATATGCTCCTCATATTCCCTTTTTGCATGCCTGACCACAGACTTGCATTTTATTTGCCATAGCCTGTGTTCCGTTTTATCAGCCTCACTGTGACTAGCTTTCCACTGCTTAAAGGAATCCTCTTTACCTTTTACAGCTTCCATTACTTTGTTTGTTAACCATGCAGGCTTTTTCCTATACCTGTTTGTGCCTTTCCTAACCTGCGGAATATTTTTTTTTTGAGCTTCTAGAATGGTAGTTTTAAATAGTTTCCAAGCTTCCCCAATGGTTTTGACCCTTTCTACTTTTCCTTTCAGTTTCCTCCCCACATGTCCCCTCATATCAGAGAAATTACCCCTTTTAAAGTTAAAAGTGGTTGTGTGAGTCTTTTTGGCCAATTCCCTATTTGTACAAATGTTGAACTCAACAACATTATGATCACTGTTCCCAAGCGGTGCAATCACTTTTACATCTCTCACCAGGTCTTGAGTGTTACTTAGGACCAAATCAAGGATTGCCTCTCCCCTGGTAGGTTCCGTGACCATCTGCTCCATAGCACAGTCATTTAGAGTGTCTAGAAACTCAATCTCTTTCTCTCGACTAGAACACATATTGACCCAATCAATGTGTGGGTAGTTAAAATCACCTATTACGACACAGTGTTTTTGTCTAGCTGCTATCTTTAATTCATTCATCATTTTATAATCCTCCTCTATCTTTTGATCTGGTGGGCGATAACAAACTCCCAGTGTTAAGTTTCCTTTTGGCCCCCCCTATTTCAACCCACAGAACTTCCAGAAGCGAATCCAATCATGCAGTCTACTTTACCTCACAGGGTTGTTGCAAGGATAGAATGGAGGAGAGGAGAATGATGTAAGCCGCTTTGTGTCCCCCTTGGAGAGGAAAGCAGGGAATAAGTGAATTAAATAAATAAATAGCTGTTGAGCACTATTCCCGTTTCAGCTCCAGCACTGGGCCGCAGGTTCTAGGAAAATATGATATTCCATCAACAAAAAATGCCACCCCCCAAGGAAGAGATCTAGATCCCCATCAGCAACTAAACGACAACTGTTCTTTTGTCATGCCCTGCCCCTCCCCCCAAAAAACCTTCCTGGAAAAAGTCTTAATGGGGAAAACAGGGAAAACCTGTCAGTGGTAGACTGATAGTAGTTGGAGGGGAACTTGGGTGGAAAAAAATGGCACGGTGAGATAAGCAAAGTGCTAAATCAGGTCATTTCCAGAGACACCTGATGCAACAGAGACCTCCCGTCACTCTCTGAACTGTGGATTTGTGTACACAGCAGAATTATACCATTGTT